AAGGGCACTTTTTTTACCAGTAATGAAGGTTAATCTTGTAAGGTTCCTGGAAGCAACTCAGTAATGAAAAATATGCCTCCACCTTCAGGGTCAAAAGAAAGTTATAACAGATGGATTTAAATGATCTTGTCAGTAAAAGACAGGAAAAGCCAGACTACATCTAAAACAGTTTTATTTTTAAAATCTTGAAAAGCCAGCTTTCATGATCAGTGAGCTGCAGAGAATTACTTTGCTAAAAATCTAAAAATAAGTTATAAAAAAATTAAGTAATTTTAAAGCATTTTAAATAATTAAATAAATGGAATAGAAGGAAACAACTGTGTTTGATATTATAAATTGCGACGATTTTTTATAGCCTATCAGACAATACAGAAATAGCCCAATTTTTTTAGTGTTCAACTATAATTACATTTCTCTCTTATTTTCTTATCTTTTTTTTTTTTTAATTTACTCTATGCTTAAAAATCTCCATTTTTAAGTAAAGAAAAACATGGCAATTCTGATCAGTGACATGTTCTCATTTTGTTTTATTTTGCTAGGGATTAACTTTGACTTTGCAAACCTAGATTTCTTTCACTTAACATCTTTGGACTGAGACAAATATAAGAGCTCAGATGAATTTTATTTCAACATAGCACTCATTCCCATCTCATTCCCATGAAGCTCAAATTTAAATCCTAAACTTTCTTCCTAGATCAAGTCCTTTCAGAAACTTCAGGGTAAGGGAGAGATGTGATTTCTAAAATTTCCACAGCGTTCCTCTGTTTCTTTTCTTTATTTATTTCCTCCTATTCTTCCTTCCTTTAGTTTTCATTCCAGGTTTCTTTTACATGACAATTTCATGACCTACCATGTAGAAATGCAAAAAACTCAACCTTTCTAAATGAAGTAGTCACAGTCATGTTATGCATCTGACTTTATGACATTCTCCATTTTCTAACGGAGGGAGGTTGTTCCAATTTTAGTCTCATTAATAGCAAGCTAGCATTATATAAATACTAGCATAGCACCAGAAAACTTTCTTTACAAGGTGAAATTGTAACCCACATGGCAAGTCTCTAAGTATTACTCTTCTCTGTATGGCAGCTTTTAGTCTGAAAAACAATGTATGGGCCCTATGTGCAAAAATCTATCAGTTAATGTTATTTTGTCTTTTTTATTACAACCAAACAGAACTTAATCTCAAAGTTTCTGTTTTACCAGTGACCCATTTCAGGGTAAGACAAAAAGTCTATTTCTAATTTCTAATTAGAAAATTTCTAATTTTCTGATTGTATCTGAAACAAGATGACAATGATTTCACATGAACTTAGTAATATTATTGTATTATGGGGGTTGCTCTGTTTGTTTGTTTGGGGTTTTTTGTGGGGATTTTGAAGTTAAAATAAGTAGAATGAATATTAGAAATAATAGCTTTAGATATTAGAAATGATAGCTTTAGATATATAGATATAGATGATATAGATTAGATATAGATTAGCTATAGATTAGATATAGATTAGATATAGATAAAGATAGATATAGTCCACTATAACTTATGTCACCTTAGGACATTTTTTGGAGCAAAATAGTTATGAGAGTAGGTAAGATTGCACTTGATTGATACTACATTGGGTCTTTTGATCTATTGGACAAGATATAATAAGAGTGTTTCTGCTAGCAGCATGATAGTTGTTATTCTGACATCTGTGACAAGTACAAAAGACAAAATGCAAAGTCAATGAAATCACCATCTTTTTACTGCACACTTGCTTAATTTCTTTCCTCATAGGCTAAGATTCTTCAGCTAGAGGAAGTCCATGGCAAATAGAGTGGGGTTTTTACATTATTTTCAATAAAGTTTCAGTGATTTTTGTGCTAAAGAGAGTAAAATGTGATCACTATCTTCACAGGATAGAATGCTTCTTCTAATGCAAAAAATAGCAGGATAATAAACCAAGCACTTGAGTATTGTTTTTTGTAGTCCGTTAAGTACCATAAAAGCCACAAAATACCAATCTTCCGGGTTAAAAAAAATTCTCCTTAAAAATTGACTATTAAGATTTCAATGAGATTTGGTTTTCCATATGGACTATACAAAGTATCATTACCATTGTAAAAAAAAAAAGAAGTCAAGACAGACTTTATCTGTTTGACTGCTTAACGTTTAAGAGATGGCTTATCCAATTTAAACCATTTAATTTTTGTGTTGGAAAATAAATCCCCATCTGACCTGACAATATGAATGCCAGGCTTTAGCTAAAAACCAATGAAAAGAGTCTAGTCACCCAAATCCCTTACAATACTCCGAGAGTCATCCTAGGACTAACCCACTCTCCATGATGCACAGCAGTACTTGATAATGCTGCTATGCTCTGTGCAGCTTTTGGCTTTGGTCTTAAAAACACTGATGGAAGGATTGCCACTGTAGTACAGGGGACAAACCTTGATAAGCTGAACTTTCAACAACAGAATCATTTATTTGGCCACAAAAGTGCTTTCCAATGTATCTGTTAATACAGCTGCAATCCTACATTTGGCAACTCCAGACAGGTGTATCTGAACTGGTAGGAAACCTTTCCTTTCAAGATGTGTGCAGCTTATTTTAGATGAGCGAGGGAAAACATGAGAAAGACAATAGAAGCAGGAGAGAAGAAAACAGGCCAGCAGCTGCTAAGTGCAATAGTACACTGGTGCCTGAATGTCCTTTCCTCCTTCCTCTAAAAATTCCAATGTTTTAAATGACAGCTATTAAAATTAATCAACTCCACACAGATTAGTCAAGTACAGCATGAGTAAACTGCAGTTCTAAGCTATTTTTTATGTATTCAGTTAATTATGATTCTAGGTTATCAGAACTGAAAAAGCACAGTACTTCCTGTTGGAAAAACCTATTCTTTAATACTTGCATTCAGTAAAGCATTAAAGGAGCTGAGTTGAAATTAATTAATAAAAATCATAAGGAAACCCTAATTAAAGCAGCAGGAAAAAACTCTTTGCATTCAAGGAACAACTTCTAAAAGTACTGTGCTAATAGTTTTAAAGTAAAGGATTCTGAACTCCAACCTGATTTTAGGAATTTTGAAATCCAGGTGCTACAGTGCAGTGAATTGATCTGTCTCCTGAATGCTACCCTCAAAATCCTCAAAAAGAGCTAGGATCAAGAATTGGAGCAGATATATCATTGTCTCCAGAAAATAATTAACAAGATCATGCTTGATGTATGTGAAACATATATTTGACTTGTCTCACTCTGACATAAAATATAAATATTCCAGATGAATGTACCCAAATTGCATGAAGGAAAAGAAAAAGAAAAAAAAAAGGCCATTATTCAATTGGCACAATAGCAAAATAAACACTTACTAATAATATATAGCTGTATTAAGTTTTCTATTTGGAATGTTAAGCACTCAGGTATGGGAGCAGATGGTGTATCCCAAATCATCACATTCAGGTTTCAACTCTCTGGATTTGTAAAACAGGGACATTTCCACTATATACACTGTGGTAATCTCAGATCACTGTCGTAATATTCTGATTTTGAATTCAATCACTTCACAGAGAAGAATCACTTCACAGGGAGGAAAATCTGATTACTCCCTTCCAAACTCCTCCAAAACATACTCATTAAAAAGAAAATTCAGGATGTCCATGTGCCATAATCTAAATGCTAGACTCTCAGTTTCTATTGCTCATCAGGAGAACACCCTGGAAAATACCTACACAGTGTTTCCCTATTTTCTGATCAGCAAAACCTCAGATGCTGACTCTACACAAAACCTGAAGAATGCCTGAACAACACACATTTTGTAAGGTTTACTGATTCTTCCAAGAAACGTGAATCTGGTTATTCAGTGACTGAACATAATTTTCTGGGAAATAAGAGTAACAAAGATAAATTATGTCCCTAGATAATCTAGCATATAATAAACGTGCAACCAGATGGGTGGTAGTAGGGCATTTCTAGGCAGACTGGAGGCAATGTTAGGCAGTGACACGGGACTGCATGATTCCTGCATACCTTTCTCTTTCCAAACATGTGAATAAAAACTTCTCCATCAATCTCTGCTGTTGAATTTTTTGAGCATTCACATTTGCCATATGTCAGCATACTCAAGCAAAAAACTACACAGACACGAACTAAATAAATTGAGATAAAGGATATTTTAGGAGGAATGTATTAACCTTTCACTAAGTTCTCATCAAAATAAAATAAAATTAACAAAATATAAGCTCCTGAATGTCTGGCAGAAGTGGGGAATGAGGCTGTGCTTGCTTAGGTGCCAATAGTCTAGATCATGAGAAGAAAACTTCAACAGCAGTTTCTTCCACCCATATAGTAATCCTTCTCTTCCCCGTCCAACCCATCCCTATTTTCTTTCATTAAATCATTTTAGGTATCCTCCTTATTTGCCTTCTAAAGGTGTATACAGCTCTCTCCTGCTCTCTCATGCTAATTTATAATGACTATCAAGAAACAAATCCCTTCCAAGAACATGAAGCAGAAAAGGATAAATAAAATTGAATGTCTTTATGTGAATTTTATGCCTTTCATGCCTTTCATGCCTGATCTGGGAATTCTAATCCTTCCTTTCTTTATTAAGATACTTAAACATGGGAAGAAAGGTTCAACTCACAAATCACATATGCACAATTTCTTTGCCATACAGGATGCACTCTCAACATGTGAGATCTGAATGTTTTTCCATTTGGGCCTCGTGACTTATTGGCTGATGCCTCTTTGCAATACAAACTCTGCTGTGCAACCATACTGTAAACTTTTTGCCTTTCTGTGAAGCACTACTAGAACTACATTATTTTCTGAAGGCTAGAATATTCTTTGGAGCTTTTGAACTCCAGTGGCACTTGAAGCTGTTGCCAGAATAACAGACTCTTTTTCATACAATAAATTTCTGTTAAAAAAGCATGTCCATGCATACACATACACAAACTCAGATTGTGCACACAAATAGGTACCACTATCAAAAAAAAACAAACCCAGAATAGATATTTCTTACCATGTGCCACCCAGCCATGTTTACACTGATCACAGGTTCTCAGGTTAATCTTCCCTGGCTGAAAACATTCACATGTGCAATTTACCAGTGTACAGCGGATGGCCTGGAAAAAGAAACAGAAAACACATGTTAATGTATTTCTCCCTGTTTGTACAAATTTGTTGTGATGGCTAGAACAATATGAACTATATAGCAAAAGCCAGCCTCCTAACATTCAAAGCCTTGCTCCTTTTTAAAGTAGAAATAAATTTTCTTTCAAAAACATACATCAGTATGTCCCAAGGAGATGAATACATTCCTAAAATCTTTCTAAGATTTGCTCTATTTTCTTTAGGAAAAAAAAAGGTTGGTAGGATGAGGATGCTGTAGGAGTTCCATAAATATCCGGGTTTTACATTGACTTAATCAAGAAAGAAAGTTACCATAAGTGCATACCAATTTCAAAACCAGATAAAAATTAGGAAACAAAAACATATGGAAAAGAAAACTACAAATATATTTTCCCTGCCTCCATGGGATCCAAAGGTTATTTTTTAATTTCTTTTTTGGGGTTCACCTAAGACATAACTCTGCTGCAAAAAGAAGTAATGGATTTTATGTGTTCCCAAAACAATAAAATGTTCAAGGTACAAGAATAGGACTGGCTCAAAACTCTGTAACTTGCCTTTACATCTCTCACTTTCTCCAGTACCTAGGAATAGCCTTTTACCTCTTAAAACTCCTCAATTGTTAAACATATATTTCTCTGTTTTCAAGTAGCAATGGTAAAACTCCAGTCCCATGCAGAGGTCTCAAGTTTGCTTAATAATACACCTTTCTTAATAATAGACTTTCTCACCTTCCTTTTTAGAATTATTTGAAAAATTACACAGGTTTACTTTGACAAGGGCTAGCTACAGCCACAGAAAAGTGAATATAAATTGAATGAGACTCTTTCTAATGTAACAGACATATGTTTTTAAATAGTGTAGAAGATGACCTGTGCACTTCAAACTGCTACTAATAAATTTATGGCATGCATTTAGATGTAATTTGCATGGAGATTTCTGAGACAGAGAGGCTTATTCTGATCATTCACAGATTAACAATCTACTGTAACTACCAGAGCTGCCAGGAAAAGATATCTCTATAGATTTAGATGCAATCAATGATTACTTGGGGGCTAAGATGGGGGAAGGGCGCTTGGTATCCATTGCCACAGAGATACTGAAGAATTATGAAGACTCTTGCCTTTTCTGAAGAATTAATACACACACTCACACATATTTTCCATACCAAAAATAATTATCTTAACTGTAGTGACTTTCAAAAAATTAAATTCAGCATTAACTTGGCCTAGCTAAGCTCTTTGGCTGCTGACAATATAAAAGCTTCAGAATTGTTTTAAATGGTTGATCCCTTTACTTATTTATCTGCATCAGACATAAATGTAAAGGCATTTATAGTTCATGGATACATTTAATATCTGTATTTCTCTGACAAATTTATCTTACAAGAGTCCTTTATTCCTCTTATCCTATCTGCTCCTTTACAACCTTTTACTCTCAAAAACCTAATGGGGAAGAAAAAATCCTGCTCTATTACGCCTGACACTTCAGGGCCTCAGTCCCAATGTCACCTGTCCAATTACTCAGTAGCCAGGTTATAAAACAAAGCTCTATGGATGTGTGATTAAAAGAATTAGTAATATGAAATATAAGGGTACCAAAGAAGTGCTGACCATGCAGGAATAATATATGTGTTTGTGGGTATGAGAAAAAAAATCTCCTGGAAGGTCTTGTTTCATGTTCAATAGTGTATTGACTTGGTAATATATCAGGACTACACTGGTCAGTAATGGTGCTCTTTTGCTAATATGTTCATTAATTAATGAACTCAGTAATTAATTGTACTGCAAGAAGGAGTTCTTTCAAAGTGGTGTTCTTATTTTGCCACAGAAGATTTTCTCACATTCACCACTTTTTTCAGATATCTGCACCAATGTGACATACACTCGTTGTATTTGATGATATTTTGACTTGTTCACGTGTCTTTTACAGTACCTGTAAGAGGTGTAATGCAGTGCAGTACATGTACTAGATGAAACTGACATTTGGAAGAGTTGGTTTATTAAGGCTCATCAGCATTTCCATTACAACCCTATCCACTTTTGGCCTAGAGGTCAACAGGTTCCTGTAAAAAATTGATTCAGGTTGAAACTGAAATGCAATGTTGCAGCTTAAGAGTAAGTTTTATTACACCTATTCAAAATTATCCATTTAGTCACTATAGATTATAAACTGGAGGGAAAATTTAGAGGTTATATGTTTCTTTTCCTCTTCTCTGAGTTAAAGAGAGTATTGATGATATAAAGTGTGGAACTAACTAATTAGTATGATTTTTAGCTTTTATACATATTGCTCAAAAAATTCACCCAAATTTTTCAGAAACATGAAAATGTCAGCTTTTTCCTCCAATAAATAAATCTGGAAAGTCTTCAAAAAGAGCTATGCATTTTTATAAATTAATATCAATTGGCATGAAAAAAATCAAAAGATAATTAGCATGGCCAAAATATTCAGCCTGGCCTTACTTGGCTGCTTTTTCTGCCAAGGGTGTATGTTGATGCCAGGCTGTAATTTGGTTTCAATAGTTTCCCATTCCACCACAGAGAATCCCATGCATACTTCTGAATGATGAGGACTACCCCTGAAGCTGTAAGATGCTCATTTAGGTCTGGAAAGACTCATTCTAATTCATCTTTTGGCATGATCTTGGGCAAATTATTTTGTTAGCCTGATGCCTACATTCCCTAAACAATAACTAGACACAAGGACAGTAAGTGTTGCCAGGGCAGATGCAACATACATTTGAAGCTATTCTATAGTAGTAGAGACTACTGGAAATCTCAAACAGAATTTAATCTTTATTTCAAAGACTAATTTTGCACTTCACTAAGTTAATTCAGAATTATTGTAACTACCTGAGATCACTGCAATACCCAACATGAAGTCAGTGTAACTCAGTGACAGGAAGATTCAAGGTGCTAAAACAGTGTGTGATCCTACACACAGGGTTGGAACACTAATGGTCATTAACATGAAAGGAAGTAATGTGCTTGAAGACCTTCACAATGCAACCAGAAAACTCACCAAGCCTTGCAAAGATATGCATCACAATTATGAACAGTACTTTTTCAACTGTTTTTCAACACTACTTAAGTTGGGAGTAGAAGTCACTGACAGCTTGTGCAGAATGCCAGAAGGGCGGCTGAAGGTGAATGTGGCATAGATTAACCGAAGAACTCAAAGTGTTAATGCAGACCTCTATTCCCACCAGTAGGATTTTAAGGTACAGTAGCTGATGTTCTTGTAGGTAGCTGAGTGAGTTGGTTTAACTGTGGTTGGATGTTTGGTACTGCTTGATTTTAAAAGGGTGGAGTGGGGAAGTGGGGATAATAAAAAGATCCTGGAGGTAGCAGCTAAATATTGCAACCGTTGCTCCAACTTTTTAAAGTGTAGGTATAAAAATCCAAGGGTGTACCAATGTTAGAATTTTGCCAGAAAGTGCTTCTGAAATAGTTTAGCTAGGCATTCCACAAGTCGCATGCTGTAATTCTGCCTTCCCATGATTTTGATATGACTTTACATACTACACTGTTTCTTAGGGAATTTTCCCTGGCTGAGATTTTCCTCAGTAATTTCCCCAAGAAAGCCAGAAAGAAAACAGAAGGAAAAGAAACCAGTGAATAGTGAAAGAAATACTACAATCAGCAGTCTCCTGCGTATTAGCTGATAGGCAACCATGTATTTAGATGGCAACTTGCAGGTTAACACCTTAAGTACGCAACAAAACTATTTCCTATATCCACCTCCTTGAAACACGTCTGCTGTTATATTTTACCATGTCAATGGCCAGTAGTTAGCAGGAATTCTCAGACTTTTTTTTTACATCCTGAGTTCCAAACATAATTCTTCTTGTATTTCTATGAAAATTACAATGGCCCTTGAGGACCTATGCAGAAATGGACTGGACTTCAGTAGAATAATTTTAAAAAGTTTATACTGCTGATTCCTTAAATCCTAAAATTTTAAAATTGACATTGAGAAATATCCTGCAGCTCTCCTTGAGATCTTCTTCCTGTAAGGCATGATGAAAAAGAAAGGAACTTTGACTAAAATTAAGGTGTGATGTCAGTACACCTACGGGTAAGTTTGTATGGCTATTAAAATATGTTAGACCTGGCTTCTCTGGGTTTCTCCCAGACCAAAGATATTAATTTAATATTGTTTGGGTGATTTTATTATATCAAAAATGTAAATATTATTCACATGTTAATAGAAATAGCAAACAGCAGTAATAGAAAAATCAATCTTTCTGGCTATTCTGCAGAGCTTCCAAGAGATGAGAGTCAATAAGCTACCATGAAGGGGACGTTAGCATGGGAGAAGAAGGGAATATGTAAAGAACATATATGATTCCTTCTCTGGAGTACTTACAAACGATCATGAAAGACGGAGGCAGTTTTAAATGATGCAACATTCTGGAGAGACAGATATGTTCTGCAACAAAACTTTGTAATGTAACTCATGATGAGGCTTTGAGAGTTCTGTGAAGTTGAATAGCATCTTACTGAAGTCTCAACCACATCTTTCTATAAAGTAGCAGTGTTAACCATCTTATTTCTAACGTCCCTACCTCACTTTTCTCAAGTGCAAAAAGTTATTTAAAAAAATGTCTTCTTTCCACATCTATATCACTGTTCACCTGAATACATAATGGAATCAACTGCACTCATTCTCTGCATCGATGTTCCAACCACCTTTCTAATGCCTCTCCCGTACATTTATCCCACAGGGCTCATAAAATCTAAATCCCCTGTTACCAGCCACAGAAGCATGAGGCTTGAGGATAATTTGGTCCGGTGAAATCTTTTTAGTGAGACTGCAAACTGGCAAACTGATGCATAAGTGCAGTTCTTGACAGTTGCATTAAAATCAGTAAGAATATGCGAGTAAGCACTCTAAATAAATGTGTTAGTTAGCAAAGATGCCATAGGTTTTAAACACACAAATATATACACCTATGTATACTTAAAACTTAGATTTTGCATAATAAATATTT